GAGTAAGATGAAAATGGGGGAATTTTACAGAACATGAGTGGGGAGAGGGTTGCTTCTGTAGATCTGATGAAGTCAGAGAAATCCTCTGGTTGGTGGCTTTAAGTTATACCCTAAATAAATAGGACCCAAGGGAAAAGGTACTTTTAGGTAGAGGGACTCGCATGTGTGAATGCCTGGAGGCGGGAATGAGCTTAGTGTGCTTGGGAAAGAAAAAGACACGCAGTGTGATTGGAATTGAGCACATGGGGGGAGAATGGAGTGGATCAGGCTGGACACGTAGGCAGGTGCTAGATCACATCGGCCCTTGAAGGCTGGGCTGGCCTCTCAGTTCCAAATCCAGTTTTCTCTCTTCCGTTCCACAATATTGGGGCTGCAAACCATATTGCTCTTTTGTCAGCTAGGGTTAGGTTTTGTCACCAGGAGAGAATCTGGGGAATCTGGAAGGCAGGGGGAGGGAAAAGGGACTTACTCATGACTGTTTACTTGCCGTTCTCATCATGGTCACCTAAGTAATGACATGCTGCTTCTCACAGTGGCATTTGATTCAGTCTCCAGGTTCTTACAGGCTCCCCTTCTGATTCTTCTAGCTCTGCTCCATCAAGGTGGGAGCTACTTCCTGCAGTAAAGTTACCTTAGTGTTCCCACCACCTCTTATATGAATTTCCTACTTTAAATTCTGTTTTCCTAGACCCAGACTGACACGAAAGGCATTGTAAGGGCTCAGACTTTTATTCCAACTCTAATGGGAAGTCACTAAATGGTTTTAAGCCAAGGATGGATAGATTGGTGAATATGAACAGTTAATCACTGCAAATAGTTACATAATTTACAATAATCTATTTTGAAGCTTGGAATCTTGGAATCATGTGACATGTTTCTGGAATGTTTGCTTAATGATCCCCACTTTCCTAAGATGGTTACATCATGTGGGTGAAATCACACCAGTGCTAAGATTACTTTCCTTACTCCAGTGTTATTTTTGCATTCATATTTGCTCCAGGCTTCTGCTATTGTTAAATATTTCATGTTAGCATCAGTTCTTGTAAGGTTCTATCAAATGGGGCATGTGTATCCTAAAGTTCCTCAGCTGGTGGCCACCGCGATCTACTAAATCCAATCTATTCTTCTGTGAATACGTGTAATATATAAACACACATATGTATTCTTTTATATGTCTGTGTGTGTATTTATATATGCATATAAATATATATGTAAGTATGGATGGATGGATACACACACATATATAAAATTTCCCCTCTGTATATGTACATATGCATACATTAACGTGTAATATATATACAATATATGTAATACATTTAGAACTCAAGCAAGTGACAGTAAAACAATACTCTTTACCTCAGAGGCTTATTGTTAGGATTAAATGAGAGAATGAATATAAAGCATATGGAGATGTAGGAGTTGGAAATGGTAGCCATTTAGCAGTGACTAAAATAAAGTTATAAAATTGCATCTTAGGGAATTGCTGTAATTTGGGCTATTAACACTTTCTTCTCTAACTCCATTCTTTTCTCGGTGTTCTCAGAGGAAGCCAAAACTTGTCTACCAAGTAGCATTTCAAGAGAGGATTCTGTGGTCAAGCTCCTTGTTACTGAGCATGGAAGGAATACACAAAAAATGATGTCTATAGCATAAAATTTGGTATCAGATGAAATAGAGCCAATGGCTTCTTTGCTTGAGTCTTTTTACTCATCTGTTAAATGGGTGTGTCTTCTATCCATCCCACATCCTTTTTAAAAAAAGATTTTATTTATTTATTTGAGAGAGAGAGCACACAAGAAGGGAGGAGGGGCAGAGGGCGAGGGAGAAGCAGACCCCCTGGACCCTGGGATCATGACCTGAGCCAAAGGGAGACGCTTAACTGACTGAGCCACCCAGGCACCCCCCCATTTTTTTTAAGTAGGCTCTTTAGCCAGCGTTGGAGCCCAACGGGGGGCTTGAACTCACGACCCTGAGATGTAGACCTGAGCTGAGATCAAGAGTCAGGTGCTTAACTGCTTAACTGAAAAAGCCACCCAGGCGTCCCTCCCGTATCTCCTTTTAAGTAAAGGTATTATAAACTAGTTCTTCAGTTGATTGGGAATTAAAGGTTATCATTTTCTTAAAAAAGCAAATGGAGAATGTATATATTGGCCAGTAAGGGTGTTTGTTTGAAAAGTCAGCTTAAAGGTGGTTTAAGAGCACAGATCAAACTCTAAATTTACAATGTGATTTTTAAATTTTTTTCTGTGTGGGCTTTTATTTTGTTTTTTTTGGATAGACCTTTAATTTGTGAATTTGAAGGGGTGACTAGACATCATTTTCTTTCAGAGAGGTGTACATAATAGTTGGATTAGTTTGCCAGGGCTGCTGTAATACAGCACACAAACTGAGTGGCTTAAACAACAAAAACGTAATAGCCTCACGTTCTAGTATTGGCAGGGCTGGCTCCCTTGGAGGGCTGTCGGGAAGAGTCTGTTCCATGACTCTCCCCTAGTTTCTGGTGGTATGCTGACAAACTCAGGCGTTCCTTGGTTTGTAGAAGCATCACCCTGACCTCTGTCTTCATCTCCGCATGGCATTCCCCCCATCCCTACATGTCTCCAAATTCCCCTTCTATAAGGACACAGTCATGTTGGATTAGGGGTCACTAATGATTTCATTTTAACTTGATCTGAAAAGACCCTGTCTCCAAGGTCACATTCTGAGGTACTGGGGGTTGGAACTCTGACATATGAATTCATGGGGGACACAATTCAGCCCGTGACATTAGTGTGCCTGTGTTTAATAATTTAGTTATCTTAAATGTGACGTTTTTAAGGGAAATTTACAAAAATGAATAGCAGGGCATCCATTATAAAAACATAGAAAAAGGGGTGCTGGGTGGCTCAGTCGGTTAAGTGTCTGCCTTTGACTCAGGTCATGATCCTGGGATCCTGGATCAAGCCCCACATGGGGCTCCCTGCTCAGTGGGGAGTCTGCTTCATTCTCTCCCTCTGCCCCTCCTCCCCACTCCTACATGCTCTTGCTCTCTAATAAGTAAAATCTTGTTTTTAATAAAGATTTTATTTATTTATTTGAGAGAGAATGAGATAGAGCATGAGAGGGGGGAGGGTCAGAGGGAGGAGCCGGGAGCCCGATGCGGGACTCAATCCCAGGACTCCGGGATCATGACCTGAGCCGAAGGTAGTCGCCCAACCAACTGAGCCACCCAGGCGCCCCTAAATAAATAAAATCTTAAAAAAAATAAAAAAGTATTATTTGAAGTTAATATACACACAGAGTGAAAAATTTAAACAGAAACTCTTCTCCTCCTAAATCTCATTCCCCTGCTCCAGCACTATTCTGTGCATATGCTACTATAATACCTTAAGAGAAGGTAGAGCTGGGTGATAGCAATGATCCAAACAAATAATGATAATAAACACTTTTTGTGTGTGAAGAGTTGTCAGAACGTTCTGAAAATCCATATTAAGAAACAGGTAATGGGGCGCCTGGGTGACTCAGTCGTTAGGCGTCTGCCTTCGGCTCAGGTCATGGTCCCAGGGTCCTGGATTGAGCCCCACATCGGGCTCCCTGCTTGGCAGGAGGCCTGTTTCTCCCTCTCCCACTGCCCCTGCTTGTGTTCCCTCTCTCGCTGTGTCTTTCTCTGTCAAATAAATAAATAAAATCTTAAAAAAAAAAAAAAGAAAAGAAACAGGTAATGATTCTTGGATACCTGATGTGTTTAAAGGCAAGAAACTCAACCCTTGTTACTTGGGCCTAAGGACCTGTGCCTGAAGTCTTTGCCTTTATCTCTCTACCATTCTTCCATTCTGTTTTTCCCTTTCCTACAGAGGTAACTCTATGTGGATTAAAAATGTCCATACTCGGGGCGCCTGCGTGGCTCAGTTGGTTAAGCAACTGCCTTCGGCTCAGGTCATGACCCTGGAGTCCTGGGATCGAGTCCCGCATCGGGCTCCCTGCTCAGCAGGGAGTCTGTTTCTCCCTCTGACCCTTGCCCCTCTCATGCTCTCTCTCTCTATCTCATTCTCTCTCTCAAATAAATAAATAAAATCTTTAAAAAAAAAATGTCCATACTCTTCTTGGGACAGTTTGAGTCCATATCAGTCTGTACTCCAAAAAGTTTAATAATGAGGCCAGTGAAGACTTTTTAAAAATTAGTTTAGGGGCGCCTGGGTGGCTCAGTTGGTTGGGCGACTGCCTTCGGCTCAGGTCATGATCCTGGAGTCCTGGGATCGAGTCCCGCATCGGGCTCCCTGCTCAGTGGGGAGTCTGCTTCTCCCTCTGCCCCTCCCCCCTCTCATTCTGTCATTCTCTCTCTCTCTCTCTCTCTCTCTCTCTCAAAAGTAAATAAAATTAAAAAAAACTTTAAAAAATTAGTTTAAATATATGTTTCAACCTTTCAACTTTTCCATTTTTAATTAGTATCTGTATTGGTCAAGATTGTTTCGGATTGAAAATTAAAGAAACCTAGCTCGGGGCACCTGGGTGGCTCAGTCAGTTGAGTGTCTGCCTTCGGCTTGGGTCAGGCTCCTGGGATCCTGGGATCAAGCCTCATGTCAGGGTCCCTGCTCAGCAGGGAGTCTGCTTCTCTCTCTCCCTCTGCCCTTCCTCCCTGCTCATTCTCTCAAATAGATAAATAAAAATCTTAAAAAAAAATAAAGAAACCCAGCTCAACCTGGCTTAAGGAAATGAACAAGTCTACTATTGCTTGTAACAGAAAAGTTCAAAGGTAGGGGTAACTTCAGGCCTGATGGGATCCAGTGAGTCCAAGAATGTCATCTGGACTTAGTCTCTCCCTCTCCCTCCCTTCCACTTCTTTGCCCTACCGCTCTTTAGGTTGGCCTCACAGAATGGTCTTCCATTCCACATGGCCTCTGCCCCCATTTCCCAGTGCTCTTAGCAACACCAGTGGTGAGGCACTGTCTTTTTCCTACTACTTTCAGTTGATGTCTTATGTTTTATAATGTTCTGTTTATTTTTTTTTAAAGTAAGCTCTATGCCCAACATGGGGCTTGAACTCATGACCCCAAGATCCAGAGTCATATGCTCTACCGACTGAGCCAGCCAGGCACCTCTTTTTCCTAATATTTTCAATGTAAAGTTCTGAAACTGAAACTCATTGGCTTGGCACTAATTCTATCCATTGGGCCTGGATGTGCATCCTGCATTCCAACTGGCCAGACTTGAATTAAAAACTCCACTCTGGGGGAATGTGTATGGGAGATGATTAGTGCTTTCCAAACCACATGGACTTTGAGAGAGAGAGAGATGAAATTAACGTGCCACTATCTGAAGAAGGAGAGATGGATTTGGGGTAGTCAAAAACAACATGTTCCAGAGCACAGATTTTTAGGATAGTGATAGATGCATGTCATTATGCATTTGTCCAAACCCAGACAATGTACACCACCGAGAGTGAACTTTAAGGTAAACTATGGACTTTGGGTGATAATGATACATCAAGGTAGGTCTAGCACAACTGTAACAAATGTACCACTCCAGTAAGGGATATGGATAATTGGGGAGGCTGTGCATGTGTGGGAGTTGGGGGTATATGGGAAGTCTGTACCTTCCCCTTAAATTTGCTATGAATATAAAACTGCTAAAAAAAAATAAAGTCTTCAAAAAGAAAAAAAAAACACAAAAAACTTCTGTCCACTATGATGTCTGCCATTGTGAGAAATCCAATAGATGCTTTAGTCATATTCTGGTGCTGTCAGCTACATTCGATATTGCTGGCCACTCCGTCCTTGAAACTGTTTCCTTGGCATCCATGATGTAATTTCTCCCTGGTTCTGCTTTGACTTCTCTGACCGACCTTCATCAGGCTCACTGAGTGCTCACCTCTTAGATATACAACCTTAGGGTTCTGCCCTTGGTTCCCTTTCTCTCTGTATTCTCTCTAGTTTTATCCTTTCCCATGTTTTCTTTTTTAAAGATTTTATTTATTTATTTGACAGAGAGAGAGACAGCAAGAGAGGGAACACAAGCGGGGGGGGGGTGGGAGAGGGAGAAGCAGGCTTCCCGCAGAGCAGGGAGCCCGATGCGGGGCTCGATCCTGGGACCCTGGGATCATGATCTGAGCCGAAGGCAGACACTTAACGACTGAGCCACCCAGGTGCCCCCTCTCTCATGTTTTAATCCCTGTCTAGATCCTCAAGCTTAGACTCCCAACTGCTTGCTAGACATCTCCAATTGGATGTCGCACTGGCCCCCTAAAATTCCTCAAGATAGACTTACTTTCATGGCCTCTAATGAACAATTCCTCCCACCATTCATACTTTTTTTTTTTTTAAGTAGGCTCCATGCTCAGTGTGGAGCCCAACGTGGGGCTTGAGCTCTTATGACCCTGAGATCAAGACCTGAGCTGAGATTAAGAGTCAGACACTTAACCAACTGAGCCACCCAGGCGCCCCCCCTTTTTTTTAACTTAAAGATCATTTTATTTTTAAGTAATCTCTACACCTAACATGGGGCTTGAACTCACAACCCCAAGATCAAGAGTTGCACGCTCTACTGACCTGAGCCAGCCAGGCGCCTCCCCCGACCCCCATACTCTTGTGTTGTCTTTCCTTGAGTCTTGTGTGGCCTTGTTAATTGACAGAACGTGGTGGAAACATCACTGTGTCAGTCTCAAGGCTAAAATTCAAGAGAGGCTAGAAGCTTCTGCTTTTGAGTTCTTGGGAGCTCAGAGCCACCAGGTAAGAATCATGAGGCAACTGCCCTGTTACTGTCCCACCTGTTTCAGAACATTTGCATATGCTGTTTCCTCTTCCTGAAATGCAGTTCCCTCTTCTCTTTGCCTACATAATACCTACTTTTCAAATCTCTGCTCAGTTATCACAGACCACATGGAGAGGGAAATACAGTGGTCCCAGCATCCTAGCTGAGCCCACCTAGTTATAGTCACACAAGTGAATATTATTAGCAAGACCAGCAGAACTGTCCAGCTGAGCCCAGCCCAGCTTGCAGAATCATGAGAAATAACAAAATGGTTGTTATGTTAAGTCATTAGGTTTGGGGGTTGTTTATTACATAGCAATAGATAAGCAAAACTTTCCACAGTATCTAAAGCTAAACTCATTGTTTTTCTCTTCACATCTGTTTGTCTTCCTGAAGTCATAGTTTCAGCTATGGCACTATTATCTACCTAGGTACCAAAGGGAGAAACTGAGGCTTCTTTCTAGACTCCTTCCTCCCCACGACCCCCATCCAACCAGCCACTATGTGTTGCTGGCTTTACCTCCCAAATATTTCTTGAATCTGGCCCTCTTCCTTTGCTCAACAATTTTTTTTTTAAAGATTTTATTTATTTGACACAGAGAGACACAGCGAGAGAGGGAACACAAGCAGGGGGAGTGGGGGAGGGAGAAGCAGGCTTCCCGCGGAGCAGGGAGCCCGATGCAGGGCTCGATCCCAGGACCCCGGGACCATGACCTGAGCTGAAGGCAGACGCTTAATGACTGAGCCACGCAGGTACCCCCTGCTCAACAATTTTGCTCCATTTCAGTTTCTGTTCTTCTCTTCTCTCCACCGCTCTGTTCCTCATACTTGCAGTCCAGTTCTTAGATCCATGTGTTACACTGCTTCCAGAGTGATCCTTCTAGAATGCACCTCCAACCATAGCAGTTCTCTGCATAGCAGGCTTCTGAGTTCCCTGTGGCCTACAGAATAAAGTCCAAACTCAGTTACAGAAGGCTCTTTTGAGAATGGCCTTCATCTATTTTTGTAATCCTGCTGATAATTCCTTGTTACTTGCTATGTCAATCAAAGTTCACACAGGAGGCAAAAACCACACCAGGTTTTGAACAGAGATAAATTAATGTAAGGGGGCGCCTGGGTGGCTCAGTGTGTTAAGCATCCGCCTCTTGATTTTGGCTCAGGTCATGATCTCAGGGTCATGAGATGGAGCCTCATGTTGGGCTCTGTGCCCCGTGGGGAGTCTGCTAGAGATTCGGTCTCTCCCTTTGCCCGCCCCCTTCCCGCTCTTTCTCTCTCTCTAAATAAATAAATAAAATCTTTTAAAAAATTGTTAACTAGGTCTAAACTGGCTAACTACATAACTTGAAAGGGTGAAAAGAGAACTTTAAGGCCTCACAGAGGTAGCAACTGCAGGAAGCAGCTCTCGCCACTCAGCCTAAGGGGGCAAAAGGAAGGGGTTGGAGTCACTGAGAAACCTAAAAGCGGGGCCCCATGCTGTTGAAACTTAAACTCCAAGGAGGGGGCTGTGCTCAGCTGGTGCTAGTGTCTCTGACCTTACAGGGTGACCCTGTGGAAGTTCCTGCTGGTCCTCCTGTCTGAGAGGAGGGTTTCATGAGGCTAGTGCTGCAGGCTTGGGGAAAAGTGAGTAGAGCGGCTGCTATGGGGAGGAGATGCAGCTGCCAGGGTGAAGACGTGCTGCTGGGATGACGTTCACAAGAAACTCGTTCTTCCTCCAGCCTTGTCGTCTCCCTCCAGCACTCCCTATTGCGGAAGCAAATACTGAAACAGCTGGGAAAGCAGAAATGTAGTTTTGCAGACTGTGGAAGCTTGGGTTTGGAGCTGAGAGACAATGTCTTAACAACTGATGCCCTTGCCCTGTTACTGTCCCTCCTTGCTTGGCTCCCACCTGTTTCAGAACATTTGCATATGCTGTTTCCTCTTCCTGAAATGCAGTTCCCTCTTCTCTTTGCCTACGTAATACCTACTTTTTTGCTCAGTTATCACTTCCTCAAGGAAACCTTCTTTGACTTCCCTGATGACATCAAATTACATTGTAAAAGGCTGTTAGCTTCTTTGCAGCAATGTCACACTTAAAAGTTTACATTTATTTATTTATTTATTTTTATTTTTTAAGATTTTATTTATTTGACAGAAAGAGACACGCCGAGAGAGGGAACAGAAGGCGGGGGAGTGGGAGAGGGAGAAGCGGGCTCCCCGCTGAGCAGGGAGCCCGATGCGATAAGAGAAGTGTCCTTCTCCCACTGTGTCTCCCTCTGTCAAATAAATAAATAAAATCTTAAAACAAAATGATGATTTTACTTATTTGAGAGAGAGAGAGAGAACACAAGCAGGGGGAAGGGCAGAGGGAGAGGGAGAAGCAGGCTCCCTGCTGAGCAAGGAGCCCGATGCGGGGCTCGATCCCAGGACCCTGGGATCACGACCTGAGCCGAAGGCAGACGCTTAACTGACTGAGCCACCCAGGCGCCCCTACAAGTTTACATTCTGTGTAATTTTTGGATTGATGCCCACTAGACTGTAAGGACATATGGGCAGGGACCATCCCTGTCTCTCCCTTCATTTGGTTTTCTTTTTTTTTTTTTTAAAGATTTTATTTATTTATTCATGAGAGAAAGAGGGAGAGAGAGAGAGAGAGAGAGAGAGAGAGAGAGAGAGAAGCAGAGGGAGAAGCAGGCTCCCAAGGAGCAGGGAGCCCGATGCGGGACTTGATCCCAGGACCCTGGGATCATGACCTGAGTCGAAGGCAGACGTTTAACCATCTGAGCCACCCAGGCGCCCTTCATTTGGTTTTCTTAAATTTGTGCCCCTCATCTCTTTTTTTATTTTTAAAGATTTTATTTATTTATTCATGAAAGACAGAGAGAGAGAGGCGCAGAGGGAGAAACAGGCTCCCAAGGAGCAGGGAGCCCGACGCGAGACTCGATCCCAGGACCCCGGGACCATGACCTGAGCCGAAGGCAGACGCCTAACCATCTGAGCCACCCAGGCGCCCTGTGCCCCTCATCTCTAACGTAGTACCTGGTGCATAGTAAGGGCTCTTTGGAGTGCAAAGTGCAGCTGTAACAGTCAATACCATGCCTTAACAGGGAATTTTTTTTTCCCCCAAATCATCTGCTTCCAATAGCATCTCTGTTCTGGATGTACCCAATAAGTCTTCCTCCTGCTTCTGATCCTCAGTAGCTTGATTCCCATCCACTGGTAACAGCTGCTACTCACAGTGTCATTTTGAGATGCTGCATGTGTACACACAAGCAAAGTATGTTACTACACATTTCCAGAGGCAGAAGTGCTTCACTCTCTTGAACAACTGTTTTGCTGTAGGAAAGTACCACAATTTAGTTAACTTTCTTCAAAGACATTTAGGTTGTTTCCCATCTTTTGGTTCTACAAATAATGCTGCAGGGAATAACCCTATGCATGACATTGGTGTGCGTAAGCACAGTTACATTGCAAGTATCTCCTGAAACACCACCTTTTACTTGGGTCCCAGAGAAGGAGATTATGCAGAGATGGCAGCAAGGATCTAGCCTGGATGCTCAGAAAGTACCTCTAAGGGTGGGAGTTTCTAGCTCAGACCTACACTGTTAGAATCTAGTACTTACGTAGTCCTAGTGTCCAGAGAGTTTGAGGGTCCCTTGGAAACTAAACTGTACCAACCAAGCTTGGAAGACACTGATGCATTAACTACAATGTTTTAGATTTTTTTTCCTGCATCCTTCCCTTAGTTCTTTCTTCTTCCATAATGGACAGATTTGTAAGAGCTTGCTTGCTGACACTAGACCATAAACTAGTCTAGTGGCTAGCAATGGACAAGACAGATGAGGGCATTGGTCTTATGGAACTAGCTTTATCATTTTTACTTTTACCAGGTTTTTTTTTTGATGTGTAAGGATGAAATGAGATAATGGAAGTAAAGTGATTAGTCTGCATGTATTTATATGTATGTACATATATAATACATACTTATGTATACAGACGCCGAATTGGAAGATTCATAATCATCTTAACATGACTACTTTTTATTTTCCTCCCCCCTTTCCTTCTTTCTCTTGAAGAGTTTACACCTTAAACTCCAAGGGTTTCTTTCAGCTCAAGGCCAGTGGGATGCGCCACCAGTAGGGGGCAAGAATCACCCAGGCGTGCCTATTACCTAAGCAACGGAGTCAAACAGCATTCAGAATGACTTTACAAAAGGGTTACCAAGAAGTTAATTTGTTTATTCTGTTAGGTCATTTGATAATAATAATTAGAAGAAGAAAAAGGAGGAGGAAGTGGAAGAGGAGAAATTAGGGAATCGAGAGATGGTAGCGACAGATCTCTGCAGCAATCATTAATTGAGAGCAATAGTTAGTTCAGAAAAAAAGTGGAGCTGATTCTGCTCACACCCCTTAGGGTATGATAATGGCAGTGGACCAGAAGAGGGGTTCCGAGTTATACTGCGGTTTCATACTGAATAAAGTGCTTTGAGCGAGCCTAACAAGCAATGAACACGCGAATATTTTTTTTGTGTAATGACGAGCTTCCCAAAGTAACAGAGACGCCACTAGGTAACTTCCTGGGCCGAAGCCACACACCAAAAGGTCTATCAAAATAGCTTCGGGCCCCTCCTAGCCGGACTTTGAAAGCAGGTGTAGGACGCATGCGCCCGGCCCACCGGCTGACCTCCTCGTGGCAACCCAGCGCGCAGACCTTCCTCCCGACAGCCCGCGGGGCAGAAAGGGAGGGGGAACGGAATTCTCGCGAGGTCTTTCGAGCGCCGGCGGAAGCAGTGGACACGTGACTCTTCTAGGAGGCCTTCGCCTTCCCCCCTCCCCCTTCTCGGAAACCCGGCCCCCTCACCCCTCGCCCACCCCGGAGCCGCGGTAATGGACCGTTTGGGTTCCGGAATTCTCTTGGATCCAACCACTGGTACCGGGTCGGCTGGAGCCGGCGGAGTCCGTGCTTGGCAGCGAAGGCAGGGGGCGGTCAAGATGGGGGGGGGAAATCATCTTCCTTCACCTAGGAGGGAGGCGGGGCGGAGGGGGGCACTGGGGAGCGGGGTGGGGGGAGGGAGGAAGTCACGTGGGGCGCGCGGCGCGCGCTGCGTGCGCGCGGCGCCTCATCCGTCGCCCCACCCCCTCCCCTCCGGCGGGGCGGGGGGTTGGGGGGAGGGGCGTCAAGATGGCGGCGGGGAGGTAGGCAGAGCCGGACGCCGCTGCTGCCGCCGCCACCGCCGCCTCCGCTCCAGTCGTCTCTAGTTTTTCAAGCTCTCGCCGCCCGAGAGAAGCTGTTCCGGCGTCGGTTCCCGCGGGGAAAGTAAGTCCTTCTCTTAGCCCTCTTCTGCTTCCACAGTCCCCCTCCCGGACAGCCAGCCTCCCACTCCCACCCTCCTCAGGGGGCCGTGTGGGGCCGGGCTGGGGGGGGGGGCAGCCACCTCACCCCGGCTTGGGGCCTCCCTCGCCTCTCGCCGCCCCCTCAGCTGAGCGCCCCAGGGCTCTTGGGGGCAAGGTCCCGGCGGCGGCCCCGCCGCGCTCGCTTCCTCCGCCCGTCAGCGCCGGGCCCTGCGGTCGCTGCGCGTGGGGGCTCTCGGGCCCCGGGGGCCCCCGCTGTCCCGGGCCAGAGTCACCCAGTTTGGGCGGGGAGGCAGGATCTGCGGACGCCGGCTCCGGCTCCACTTGAGTCGCCCTCCTTGCTTTCCCCGCTCCTCTCAGGGACTGTGAGGTCCCGGACCCGCAGGAAAGTGAGCTCCGCAATCCTTCAAAAGTCCTCATGCCCGAGGGTTGCTCCCGGTTTGGGGCGAGTGCGGGACGAGGTAGGGGCGCCGAAAGTCTGAACCCCACACCTGCAATTTTCTGATCACCTTGCTCTCAGGGCGTCGAGGCGGTACATGGGACACGTGGGGGCCACCTTCAAGCCTCACCGGGTGATTACGTTAATTTTGTCTCGAGCTCGCTCGCCTCCTAGACCCTAAGCATCTATGTAGGGAAAGGCGTTGGGGATTTGCTTACTTTAAGGGTGTTTGGTGTAACGAGCATCTGAAGTTCCCCAAACCAGTGTATGCTGGTGGTTTCCCATAAGTGGTTTGGGATCCGTTTAACCGCTGAGGAGATTTGGATGTTCCTGAACCCTTGTGATTGTTTCTTTCCTGACCCTGGCATCCAGCTCCTCCCCTTTCCACCCCGGCTTTGTGCTGCTGTTTGGTTAATGTTTGCGGACCACTAACTTGATCCTCGCACAGCGAAGCCCTTTTTATGTTCGGGCTCCGTTTACTGTAGGAAGCTTTTGTTTTGGGGAGTTGCTGGTTGAGAAACGTGGGGAAAGAACTGGCAAGAAAATGAGCGTCAAATAAAGCAACGTTTTTATCCATTGAATTGCGCAGCCAATTGTAACCGCACCCGGAAGTTTGTACTAAACACGTGTTGCTGAGGGAAGGCTAAAAACTGGGTCCCCTTTGACCTTTGAAAGTTGATTATTAGCAGTTTATGTTGAGTTAAATGTTTTATTTTCTCCAGACAACCGCGTTTAGAGGCGGAGTAGGGCTTCTACCGAGTCGGCCAGGGGGGTCCAGAAAGCTGTCAAACCCCGACTTGCCCTAGAGGAAATAAACTTAACACTTGTAGATACAAACCAGCTAACAGTGCGAAAAGATTCCATGTTTTCCGGTGTATTTACTGCAGTCAGAAGTGATTGTTCTTTAAGCTGTTGGGAAAACCATTATCATTGCCCAAAAGATAGTTTGTATAGAATTTCTAGGATAAAATGCAGAATTTACTATTGGTGCCTTGCGGGACAGTAATTTTGCAAGCAAGAGAACGGTTTATTTTCATGTTTAAAAAAGTTGTTTCCAAAATTTATCTTACCAGAAAGAACATCTTTATTTTTTTCCTTCGGTTTCTGCATTTTTATCTCCCAATCTAACTTAATTTCACACAATTTGTCTGTAGAATTCTAAGTAGGTTTTACTTTGGCTGCTGGGTAAGTATTAAAAAGGAGGGCTTAGTTGGTGGCTTACAGTGGTGGCTTACGTTCATTCATTCATTGGATGCTCTTAAGTGTCAGGCAGTTTTACTTAAGGGCTTTGCTGAAATTACGTACTGCTTAATAGGATGCAGTATAAATGTATAAAGTGTAAAGATTCCTTTAAGTGATTCATCTTAAAGATTAAAGCTACAGATATATTTTGGTGTTTCTTAAATTTCTAAATTGAGCTTTGACTTGAGACTTGCCTCCTGTGAAGGTGGTGAACACTCAGATCTGAGGTCTGGTCTTACCAAGTAACCTGACTTCATGAGTCTCTTAGTTCCCATGCTTTGCTTGCCCTAAAGTTGATGTAAAGATACTTTCTGGAGGCGCCTGGGTGGCTTAGTCCATTAAGCGTCTGCCTTTGGCTCAGGTCATGATCCCAGGGTCCTGGGATCAAGCCCCACTTCAGGCTCCCTGCTCAGCAGGGAGTCTGCTTCTCCTCCCTGCTCTTGTGTTATCACTTGCGCGCGCGCTCTCTCTCTCTCTCTCAAATAAATGAAAAATCTTTAGGGGCACCTGGGTGGCTCAGTCGGTTAAGCATCTGCCTTCGGCTCAGGTCATGGTCCCAGGGCCTTGGGATCGGGTCCCACGTCGGGCTCCCTGCTCAGTGGGGAGCCTGCTTCTCCCTCTCCCTCTCCATGCCATTTTCCCTGCTTGTGTGCTCGTGCACTCTCTCTGCCAAATATATAAAATCTTTAAAAAAAAATAATAAAAAACCCTTTAAAAGCATACTTTCTGTTGAGAGGAATTGTTTTCACATTATATAGCTAATTAATAGAATGATGTAATCTTAAAGTGTTTACAAATGTCTTTGTTTATGCTGACAGATAAACTTTAATATGGTTGAACTTGGTAAATATTAAGGGTAATCTTGGAATACCACTGAAATTTTCTGTAGATGGAAAGGATAGGCTCTTGAAGAGCAGGAACTCCGGTTTTATGAATAAAATACAGTACAAAACCCAGCAAATTCACTTGTTTATTTAATTCTTGGAAAGCAGTGTATAGCACAGAGCAATGATTTTAGAACCTTTTTACTGCATCGTATGGTTAAGATGTGTTTTACATTGTGACCTACTACGTATCCACGCATAGAACTCAAAAACTCATGTCATGAAATAATGTTTATCCTCTTTACATGCTGTGTGTTAGGAACCCCTCTTCTGGTCCACTGTGTGTTAGTTTCTAAATATTTTTGAAATATTTAAGAATTCTGGTCATGATACACTGAATTTGACTTGACAGCTCACTGTGGTGTGACCACCAGTTTGAAAAATGTGGTATAGGCTTAAGAATACAGAATCTTGGAGGCATATGGGATCAGAGCTCCTGGGTATCTAATTCTGCTCCACACTTATTTTGTTACCTGTTACAATTCATTTCTCTAAGCCTCAGTTTTTCATCTGTGACAGAAGGATAACATTTAGTATTTACTCATGCGTTATCTTGAGGGTTAAAAGAGAAAAAATCCGATCCTGTAGTAAATCTCAAAACGACTAGGGATCTGGATGACGGTGGTAACCAAGAAAGTTGTTTCACACACCCCCCCCATTTCTTTTTTGTGCTTTTTTGGTAAAGCATGTTTGAAACTTTGTTACCTGCATGTTACTTTGTGAATCCGTTCTTCCTATAAAAAGTTTCTCACTGAGAGCAGGGAGAAGCACACTTTACTGAGCAAGCGTTCCCTTGAAAAATAGCTGTTAAAAACTACAGATTTTTCCCTTGTAGGTAATGAAAATCCTTGTTAATGAACTTCTTCATATTATCTTCTTTTCTTCCTGATGTTCTTAAAGAACCAGCACTCAGACACTAAATAAATACCTTGTCCATGAACTATATCAGCTAAAATTTTGAGAGGATCATTATCCTTCCAGCTTCTTAAACTAAATGTCAGTCATCACCTCTGGGCTGCGTAAAAGCAAAGCTGAAGCTGAGTTAAAAGTCAGACATAGTTAGTGCTGTTAAATAAAGAGAAAAAGTCCTGTTTATTATTAGGCAAAGATACTTGCTAAGTGATATCTTTGCACATACAAAGAGGTCTACCAGTTTTCTCTAGACACACCAATTGATTAACTGGACAAATTGAATACGTGACACAGGTAAAAAGGAACTAGTGTATTTTATTTTATTTTTTTAAGATTTTATTTATTCATTTGAGACACACACAGAGAGAGAGAGAGAGAGCATGGGCAGGGGGAGAGGCAGAGGGAGAAGCAGGCTCCCCGCTGAGCCAGGAGCCAGACATGGGGCTCAATCCCAGGACCCTGGGATCATGACCCAAGCCGAAGGCAGACGCTTAACCATCTGAGCCACCCAGGTGCCCAGGAACTAGTGTATTTTAAAGAATTCATTTGGAAGTTAATTATTGAGTGGATTGCCAACAGAGTTGGTATTCTGGGAAATAGTGTTGTATCAGTGATGTAGGAGAAAACCTATTTTTCGACATGATACTAATATCAAAATAATAGTTAATAGCCAGTAATATAACATTTATTCAACAGCAATTCTATAAGATAGGTTCTATTATTATTCCCATTTGAAGATGAGGAAACTGAGTCACACAAGTTATTACTTGACCATATTCTATTACTGGTGCATGAGGTAGCCAGTATTTGAACCCAGATATTCTGTTTGACTTCATAGTCTACCCTAGCCTCTGGGTGTGCTTTCACTGCTGCAGATGGATCCCTTGTATCTCTGCCCGGAGCTGTAAAGATCTGCTTTAGGTCTCAACAAGAGGAACCTTGTCCTGGTTGATAGGTTTCTGTGTTGGTATTCTCAGTGGGAACTGTATCCTTTCATTCTTCTGATTGGCTATTGTTTCTCAGGATTCTCTTCCTGCCAAGGATGGCTTGGTTTCTCTCTACTACCTTGTCCTTGTTTCTTATTTATCTTACTAGACGCTTTCATAGGTGTACTATTTTGAAATAGGTGGTATTTTCCTAAGTATTTATGATAGAAATGGAACCTTTTTGTCACCCATTTTTTTAG